TTTATTTTTGTATGAGTGTACCCAAGTGCACCCATGTCATACAATGCCCACAGAAGATGTAAGAGGGCATCGGATCCTCTGGAACTGGAGTTATAAACGGTTGTTAGCTACCATGTGGGTGCTGGTATTTGAACCCAGGTCCTCTGCAAGAGCAGCCAGTGCTCTTAACTGCTGAGCCAGCTCTCTAGTCCCCCTTTTTTTCAAACAGCAAGCCAGGTGTGTGTTACCAAGACAGATTTCTGATATCTAAAGCCCCTGTGGAAATAAGCTGATGATTGTAACACATTATTTCTCTGCTCTGTTTTTACATTAGTTTTACCTATTTAAGTGTTTATTATTTATTTATTTATTTATTTAATTTAGAGACAGGGTCTCCCTGTAGCCTCAGCTGGCCTGGAACTCACTATGTAGACCAGGCTGGCCTCAATTTCACAGCGATCCACCTGCCTTTGTCTCCTGAGTGCTGGGACTAAAGGTGCACCACCACTCCTTGCCCCCTTCTCCCTTTATGTGGGTGTTGGGACTGAACTCTGGTGGTAAGGCTTGCCGGTAAGCCCCTTAATGCAGAGTCAGCTCACTGACCCTCCAGCTTATGTTCTGAGGGTCTCTCTCTAGGGTTCACTGACTTGGCTAGGCTGGCTGGCCAGTGAGCCCCAGGAATCTGCCCGTCTCCACCTATTCAGGGCTGGGATTTGAGGTGCACACCAGCCTTTCTTATGTGGGTGCTAGGGAATCAAACTTAGGTCCTTATGTTACAAGACAAAGACTTTACCCACCTCTCAGCGCCCCCCCCCTTTTAAAAAATATTAGTTTTTTTGAAACAGAGTCTCCCATAGGCCAGGCTGTCTTCACATTTCCTATGTAGCCCAGGCTGACTCTGAACTTCTCAACCTCCTACCTCTACCTCCTCAGCGCTAGGGTGGCAAGTGTCTGCCACACCTACCTCTGAGTCCATTTTTAGACATGCAGTGACTCCCAGGCCCCAACCCACAGGTCCTGCCACAGTGGCCATGGGACATAGGTGCCCTGGATTCTGACCTGTGGCCCTGCGCAGCTCACTCTGCAGAGCTCACAGTAGTGGACAGAGGGTGGCCTCGGACTGGCCTTGGGCCTGGGTGTCTTCTCGGGGACTGGCAGAGTGTCACTGGTGAAGCTACTGGCTGAGGCATCCCAGGGATCATGTCCTCTGCCACCCCATGGGGCTGCGCCCATGGGTGCTGAGGGTGGGGAAGGCCGGGGTAACTTCTCAGGGCGTCCTGTGGTGGGTGACAACTTCGTCTGGGATTTCTGAGGTGGAGGACGGTGAGAACTAGAACCCACAGACATGTCACAGCCGGTGTGGCTTGGTCCTACAAGGGCAAGAAACATCACAGAAGGGAAAGGTATGGATTCAGTCAGGTTGATGGGGTTCACAGCATCTCAGGAAGGGAACATCTTAGGATCTGGGGAAATTAAGGAGGATGGGGTTGCATGGGGATGGTGGCTCCAGGTGACATTCATGTCCATGGGTGGCCATGGCTCAAGGCCAGACTGCTAGCTGGCGGATCAGCCTTCACTATGGAAACCTATGACCTCTTTTGGTCCCTAGGGGACCAATAAGTGACCTCTTGCTGCTTCCTGCCATGACCTTGTCTCATGATGCAGCCCCAGCTGCACTGGAAATTGCTATGTAGACCAGGCTGGCCTTGAATTCACAGAGATCCACCTGCCTCTGCCACAGTGTTTGGATTAAAGGCTTGTATCACACAGCCCACAATTCAATAGACTTTTAAACCTAAGACACAGGTTGGCGAGATGCCTCAGTGGGAAAAGGTGCTTGCTGCCAAGCCAAACAACCCAAGTTCAATCCCTAGGACCCATGTGGTGGAAGGAGAGAACCGACTCCCAATAGCTGTCCTCTGACCCCCACATGTATGTAGTAGCACGAGCAGCTACCCACCCACAAACACAATAAACTGCAACTGAAAAAGCATAAACACACCTGACGATGGAGTGTGGCTTGAATTCATCTTCTGTACTTAGGTTCAGGAGGCGGACTTCCTTCTCATTGGTCAAAAATGGGGCTGACTGGGTAAGCACCCTCCAGAGACTCCGATGTGACCCTGGCTGACAGTCACGTGTTCCTGCCCCAACCTGGCCCTGTCCAGACCCCATCATAGAGAACCCTGCACCCACCTGGCCGGCAGATCGAGGCCACTGTTGGCTGGTCCCGCTCCCTGTCCTCAAAGCCCCTCTTGGCCGTCTGTGCTCGGCAGCTGTGCGAGTCCTGCTACAGAGTTCCATGGGACAGAGGGACAGAGATAGGGAACCAACTTAGGGCCATCGGGGAGACAAGATGGGCCCCAGGTCAGACCACTCATCCCTGCCCCAAGGGAGCTGGGGATGCTGAGGGGAACCAGGCACAGGCAGAGCTCTTAGGACTTCATCCTGTTTATCTTTTGTTTTTCTGAGGCACAGGCTCATGTAGCTCAGGATGGCCTTGATCTCACTATGGAGCCAAGGATAACCCTGAGCTCCTGATCCTCCTGCCTCTATTTCCCGAGTACTGGGATGACAGGTATGTGACACTATGCCTGGTTCATGTGGTGCTGGGGATGAACCCAAGGATTCTCATGTGTGGTAAGTAAGCACAACCACTGAGCTGCAAGCACTCTATCCACTAAGTCACAAGCACTCTACCCAGTGAGCTATAAGCATTCTACCCACTGAGCTATAAGTACTCTACCCACTGAGCTACAAGTACTCTATCCACCAGGTCCCAGCCTTGGCTATTTTTTTAAATAACATTTATTTACTTACTTTATTTATTTATCTACTCATTCATTTATTTGTGTGTTATGGGAGAATCAGAGGACAGTTTTTGAGAGTCAGTTCTCCCCTTCTACTCTGTAAGCTCTGGGGACTGAATTCAGGTTGGCCAGCTTAGTATCAAGTACCTTTACCAATGGAGCCCTCTTGCCAACTCTAGTTTGTTTTTGTTGTTTTTTTGAGATGAGTTTCCCACATAGCCCTGGCTGGCCTGAAATTTACTACGTAGACCATGCTGGCCTCAAATTTACAGAGATCCACCTGCCTCTGCCTCTGCTAAGGTTAAAGGTGAGCCCACCATACCTGGCCCTAGTTTTGTTTGTTTAAAACACTTCAAAAATTTTTTAATATATATTTTTATTTTATGTGTATGAGTGTTACGCCTGCATGTAGGTAAGCGCACCCATGTCGTGCAATGCCCACAGAGGACAGAAGAGGCTGTCTGATCCCCTGGAACTGGAGTCATGGACAGTTGTTAGCTGCTATGTGGGTGCTGGGACACAAACCCACATCTTCTGCAAGAAGAGTCAGTGTTCTCAACCACTGAGCCATCTCTCCAGCCCAAGAACGTCAAAATTTTTAATTAATTAATTAATTTATTTATTTATTTATTTATAAGTGTATGAGCATCTTGCCTACATGTATATAAGTGCACCATGTGCGTACAATGCCTGTGAGGTCAGAAGAAGGTGTCAGATCTGTTGAAACTGGAGTTTTAGATGGTTGTTAGCTGTCATGTGGGTGCTGGGAATTAAACCCGGGTCCACTGCAAGAGCAGTCAGTGCTCTTAACCGCTGAGCCAGCTCTCTAGTCCCTAGTCTTGTTTCTGAGACAGAGGGTCATAGAGAACCAGCGAGGCTCCAATTCCCAACGTTGATGACAGACCTGTGCTACCAGGCCTGGATGTGATACTGATACTGAGGCAGGACAGCAGGACAGGGAGATTACAGGGTTGTGAGAAGAGCCCCTCACCTGGAGCCTGGCGGACACGGCTAGTTAGCTGAAAAGAATTAATTCCAGCACCTTCCACAATAGTTCCTGCTTGGGCTGCCCACGGAGATAATATTCCTTTCATAGAAAGATATTTTATGTACCAATGGCCTGAGCCCCGCCCTCAATGTACGTGACCCTCGGGCAGGGTGCTGTACCCTCCCCAGACAGTGCCCGAGACTCTCAAACAAAACTTCACAGTACAGGCTGGAAAGACAGCTCAGCACTTAAGAGCACTGGCTGCACTGGCAGAGGACCTGGGCTCAGTTCCTAACACCCACCTGGGGACTAACAACCTTTTGTAACTCCACTTCCAGGGTATCCAATGCCCTCCTTTGGTCTCCATGGGTACTACATGCACGTGGTGTACTTACAGACCCACACGTAGAAATAATCAACAAGAAATAAATCTTTTAAAAAAAACTGTTTACAGTAAAGACAATCTACTTTTCTGTGTCCCTGTGGGCTAGACTTTTCCCATATTAATTACAATTCTATCTGATGCCCTTCAGGACCTGCCCATTGATAAGGCAGTGACTTTTAAGCCTCACCAAAACCCTGTCTGTGATGATTAGTGAGTTGTGCTTCTCCCTTGAGGAGCTTGTGCCCACACTTGGGTGTGTCTAACTTTCTCCTAACCCTCATGCTTAATGCCAGTCTGGCCTTACTCAAAGTGGCTAAAATTCTAGGTATCCCAAACTATGGTAGGTGGACAGACTAGGGTGGGAGGAGACCCTAGATGGCTCAGGCTGCCATACCAAATGGAAACACAGTGGACAGGTGTGTTGGCCCTGAGCGCTGGCACCCAGCTGCCTGGGGAGGAGTGTCCCTCAGTCAGGCAGGCTCCTCCTGAGAGACATGGCTAGGGACAGAGTGCTACACACCCTAGGAAAGCAAGCTCGATTTAGATGACCTCAAGGACATGAGGCCAGAAGGGACAATCCACCTGGCAGCATGAGATGACTCAGTACCTGATGGTTGGGCACAGCGGTGTCCACGGGGATGGGATCCTGAGGTCGGCCAGCATAAGTGGGGTCCTGGCTGGAGTGGGGCTGGGAACAGTCATACCCCATTGGAACCCCTCCTCTAGGTGCAGGTTGCTGGGTGGCAGGGACAAGTGCCAGGCTGGTGGTGCTGTCCGCTTCAGGGCTGGATTGCAAGGCTGGGAGGGGAAAGGCCGAGGGCGGCTGGGTGCTGGGGCCAGACACACAAAAGATAGGGTGGGTTAGCTGGGGCGGGGGGGGGGGGGGGGGAGAGAAGACAGAGGGGCGGGGGGGGGAGGTGGGGGGGGGGGGGGGGGGTCCTACATAGCAGATGACCCAGAAAGTAGACACTCGGGCAATCCTCCCCTCACTCCTGTTCTCTGTGCAGTCAGTGAGCCCCAGGATCCTCCTGTCTCCACCTTCCCAGTGCTGGGATTATAGGTATGTGACACCATGCATGGCTTTGGGATTATAACTCAGGTCCTCCCGGTTATATAGCAGGTACTTTGCTGATGGAGACATGTCCCCTGTATACCTGTTCCTTGGTAGTCAGGTGTGGAGGCCCATTGTTCCACCTACTCAGTAGACTGAGGCAGGAGGACTGTGAGTTCTAAGCCAGCCTGGGCTGCAGAGTAGGTTGGTTTTTGTTTTGGATTGGTAGAGAAAGTACCAACAGCCATCTGTCATCTTTGTTCATACCAGAAGGGACCAGGAAGCCCTTGGGGGAGGGCCAGGGCTTGAGTTTTTGTTGTTCATTAAGACAGCGTGACCCTGGACTCCTGATTCTCCTGCCTCTGCCTCCCAGTGCTGGGATGAGGACTCATCCAACAGATCAGGAGGCGGGGCCACCTGAGCTACAAGCATGCTACTCATTGAGCTACAAGCACTCCATCCACTAAGCTACAAGCACCATACCCACTGAGGCCCACCCTGGCTAAAGCCTGTCTACTGGGTCCCTAAGGGGTAGGTAGTTCATGTCCCTGGTGGGGTCAGCCAGGGTGGAAAAGTGGCCCCAGTCTAAAGCTGCCAGAAAGGTGGCAGGCGACCGGGACCAGAGCTCATAGCCCTGGCTACCTGATGGGGGTCTTCAATGATATGCTGAAGGGTACAGAAAGCAACCAAAAGCCCCTCTACCTCTGACACTTGTCCGAGCCCACTTCCCTCTGAAACAGCTCCTGGGGTCCCCTCCTCACTGACTCATTCATTTACTCATTCATCCTTTTATTTTAGAGACAGGGTCTCCCTATGTTGCCCAGGCTAGCCTCAAACTTACTCTGCAACTGAGACTGGCTTTGAATTCCAGATCCTCCTTCCTCATTCTTTCTTCCCAGTAGCTGAGATCACAACCCTGTGTCACCTGGCCCAATGGTTCACCAATTCCCAAAGACCTGAAACCCCACCCCATCCCTGCCTGGCAGGGTCCCCCATCTATCGGACACCAGAACCTCCTACTCCCTTCCCGCCTAGTAGGCTCCCCCATCCATCAGCAACCTGAACCCCCCACTTCCTACCACCTGGCAGGGTCTCCCAACCACCAGCAACCTGAACACAAAACTCCCTCCCTCCTGGCAGTGTCTCCCATCCATCAGCAATCTGAACCCCCGAGTGCTTCCCTTCTGGCAGGATCCCCCAAGGTCTCACGTCCACTCTGGGTCAGTCCCCTCCCCCACCTGTCTCCTGCATCCCAGGTCCCCGCCCTCCCTGACCCACGTAGGTCCCTTCCCGGTTTGCACCAGGTCCCCAGCAGAGTCCCCGCCCCCACCCACATCCCACCCATCACTCAGGCGAGGCCCCGCCCCAGCCCCGTGTCCCCGGGGGTTGAGGCGCCTCGCTGCTGGCAGGGCTCTTTACCTAGACGCCGCGCCGGCGCCCTGCGCGACGCCTGAATTGCTGCTGGCCGCCATGTCCGCGTCCTCCCCGAGCCCGCGGCCGCGACGTCACTGCCACGCCCCCGACGCGCACCGCGCAGGTCCCGCCCCCTCCTCAAGCCCCGCCCACCCTCGGACCCGTCATTCTTAACTGTGGCGTCTCAGTCGGGCCCCGCCCACTCTCAAGTCCCGCCCTACAAAGGCCCCGCCCCCTTCCCGGACCCGCGATCCTTAACTACGGTAGTGAGACTGAGCCGACCCCGCCCCTTCATAAGCCCCGCCCACGCTCGGACTCACTTTCCCTGACCTCCTGAGAAACTGAGCCGACCCCCACCCCCTTTCGAAGTCTCGCCCACACTCAAATCCGCCACTCCTAACAGTGAGGGACTGAGCCGGCACCGCCCCTGTGAAAAGCCCCGCCCCTGAAAAGTCCCGCCCCCTGTCCCGGCGTCCATCTCTAACCACCACTGAGAGACTGAGCTAGGTCCCACCCCTACTCAGACCCGCGGGTCCTAATCTCTGAGGTGAGGTCCTGCCCCGCCCCTTCGAAAGCCACGCCCCTTGATCAGACCCGTCATCCCTGCCACGGAGATAGGCCCCGCCCCTTCACAAGCCCCGCCCCTATCAGACCCGCCATCAGTAACCAGAGATGAGGCCACGCCCCTTCACAAGCCCCGCCCCTGATCCGACCCACCGTCCCTAACTGAAGTTAGACTTCAGTTCAGCCCTCAATAAGGCCCGCCTCCTGCTAAGCCCCGCCCTCTCCTCAACAGCCTTCCCTAATTACTGAGACCTCAGATAGGCCCCGCCCACTACCCAAACCCCGCCCCCGAGGAGACTCGAAAAGGGGGCATGCCTTGGAGGTCAGAGGACAACTTGGGGGAGTGGGTCCTCTCCTTCCACCATGCAGGTCTCTGCCCTCGACCTCGGGCCCTCAGGTTTGGTGGTAAAAGCCCTCATCCGCTGAGCCCTCTCGCCAGCCCCTTAAATCTTTCGGTGAAGCGAGCTTGCTGATTTTGGACTCACCTTAAGGGCTGGGAAGCTGAGAGTTGCCACTGACAACCATCAGGTGGGTGGCACGTGTACATCCGTGTCTTTGTAAGAATGTGTGGCTTCCAGGCATGGTCTGATGGGGCTGCCAAGGTCCTGCCATGCCCTGGCTCAAGTCCTGCGTGGTAATTGTGCATGGCCAGCCACCAAGACCCACAGTTCTAACTAGATGACACAACTCCATCTCCCTAGCAGGCCTGTTGAAGTATTTTTCTCTAGATTGTAAATTTCTTTCCACTTATTTATTGCAAACACTGTGCCCTTCATTTCTATACCCAGGGAGTCCCCCCAAACAACCCTCAGCTATCAATATGTTTTTCCCCCTTAGTTTTGTTCTATAAAGTTGTCACAAACATTGAATTAGTGAATATTGGTTTACCACTACTGATACAAATAGAAAGTGGAATATTACTCAGCACAGCAAAAGGAAACTGGGACACCTGTTCCAATGTGGCTGGCCCTTGAGGACACAGTGCTCAGTGACATGAGCCAGACATTAAAAGGACACATGCCACAGGGTCTCACAAACAGGTGGTCTCCAGATTTGTCAGATCCACAGAGACAGGAAGTGGGAGGGTGGGTACCTAGGGGGGTCTGAGGAGGAGAGAGATAACATGAAGGGGGACAGCTTTGTTGTGGGGAGATGGAAGCTTCTGGAGATGGATGGTGGGGATAGCTGCACAGCTGTGTGAATGAGCTTCAGGCTTGGTGAGAGACCCAGACAGAAAAGTCACACAGTGTGGAACTCTAGACAGGAAGTGTCCAGAACAAGACAATGCAGAGGGATGTGATGGGAGGAGAGGAGGGCAGCAATCTGAATGTCTCTATCCGAACTGAAGCAGGAATTATGAGAGGATGAGAGGACAAGACTGAGTGAGCTTGGACAGCACAGCAGAGCAAGGCCCAGGCAGTCGGTAAGGACTTGTTGCACTCACAAAAGCCAGTGCACAGTGGGGGTTATTGACTTGTTTCCTGAGAAAACAGGAAACCACACTTGATGGGCAGCAGGGGCAGGTCTCCAGCAACAGCCACATTCTCTCACAGATTTGAACCAAGGTCTGCAGAGATTGATGCTTTCTGGAATCCCAGGAAAAACCATTCTCTCTTACCTACCCGAGAAATCCAGAAATTAGTGCAATTCTAATATTCTACGGGCAGCAGTGGAGTTCAGTCTCCATCTTCCTCTCAGCCCAGCCCCTCACTGGGGGACTCTAGACTGTCACTGTACATCTCATGGATGCCCTGAGCTCCAGTATTACATGCACATGCCACACAGCTGGCTCTTTTTAAAAATATATTTTCTGGCCAGTCGTGGTGGCGCACTCCTTTAATCCCAGCACTCAGGTGGCAGAGGGAGGCTGATCTCTGTGAGTTCAAGGCCAGCCTGGTCTACTTAGCGAGTTCCAGGACAACTGGGGCTACAGGGAGACCCTGTCTCAAAAAGAATAGATGATGATAGATAGATAGATAGATAGATAGATAGATAGATAGATAGATAGATAGATAGATCGTATTGCCTGCATGTATGTACGTGCATCCGTGTTGTGCCATGCCTGCAGAGGTCAGAAGAAGGCATCACATCCCCTGGAACTGGAGTTACAGACAGTTGTTACCGCCTTGTGGGTGCTGGGAACCGAATCAGGTCCTCGGCAGGCGCTGCCAGTGCTCCCACCCGCTGAGCATCGCTCCAGCCTCACAGCTGGCTTTTTCCTGGCTCCTGGGAATCCAAACCCTGTCCTCGTGCTCGCGGAAGCACTTTGCCTGCGGAGCCATGTCCCCGTCCCCGCTGCTGCTTTTTTCTTTTCCTCTTGAGATAAGGTCTCACCACGTTGCCCAGGCTGACCTTATGCTCACTGCGTAGCCCAGGCTAGCCTTGAATTTGCCCATCCTCCCTTCTCAGTTCCCCTAGCCGCTGACGGCAGAGGCCACGAGCCCTCTGCTCTTCCGCCGCTTCTGGAATCCCTCTAGGCAGCAGCAGGGGGCGCGGCCCGTGGTCCGGAGCTTCTTGAAGATAAAACCAGCGGCGCCGGCCAAGCGCTGGTCCAGGCTGAGGGGGGATCACGAAGCCATTATCTCGGCCCTTAAAGAGGGCTTCAAGGGCGCCCCTTCCCCCACACCCTACAATCTTTTCCAAAGAGCTTTGGGAGCCCGCCAGCCCCCTCCCCGCACCCGCCCTCGGAGGAACCAGGCCATGGCTGTTCTCTTATTTATTTCTGTCTTGTTGTGATTGCGCATAACTGCGATGCACCATCCCAAAGGGTTTGGGTTTAATTTTAATTTTTTTTTTTTTTTGCACCTGCTCTAGGCGTCTTAGAGAGGCGCCTTCCCCTCAGCCAATCGCGACCAGAGGATGCTGCAGGGGCTGGACCTGTCTATCAGTCCTGGGTCCGCCCCCCGCACACAAAAGCAGCTTCCTTCAGTATCTCCAGAGAAGCAGAGCCTCAGCTAGCCCGAAAGAAGATTAAAATACGAGGGGGGCCGGCTCCGGGGGGGGCGATGGCCGGGGACACGGGGACCGCGGGGGGCCAAAGATGCTGCCGTTAACCCACAGCCGCCTCTCCCGGACCAGAGAGCCCACGCGCGGCTGGCCACGTTGCCCTGGGTGACCTTCCTCACATGCGGAGTCGGCCCCCCGTGAGCATCCTTCCGCCGGGCTCCGAAGGCCTGGGTACCACCCGTGAGAGATGCCCACCTGCATCCGGGCACCGCCGGGCTTTGTTTCTGAGTGACAACACAGCGACGCGGCCGCTGCCACCTCGGGCGTAAGTGGGCCTTTTTAAAAATTTTAAATTTAAATTATAATTTGACCATTCTTGCAGACCAAGCAGAAGAAATGTTTATCTGGGAGACGTTGGTACCTTCCCAATCTGGATGTTGTAATGGGGCGGGTCTTGCATCCTGCCTCGCGGTCCCCACTTCCGTCCCCCTCCTAGGCTGAGATTTGCTTGTGAGAACACAGAGTGAAGGATTAAAACCTCCACCCAGAGCATCCTGGGGGCGACTAAACACGAATCCACCTAATTTCTTGTGTTTCTCTATTTTATAACTCCTGACTGTGAATTTGGAGCAATTTTGTATATTTTATATATTTGTATATATCCTACATACATTATTCATTTATAATT